ACTCTACTAATAAATTACTAATATTTTCTAACATTTCAATCAAAAAATATATAAAGCGATTAATTACTAACTTATATTAACAAAAACTAACAAATTTTAAAGCAATATTACGTTAAATAAAAAATGACGACAAACTAACTGAGAAGTATTGTTGTCCAATAAACCAGATTAAAAACTACAAACATAATCGGGAATATAATCCGACACTTCCTGTCGATTGACTCCGCGATCTCAACAGGTGTTCGCTTTAAGGGGTCGTACGACGGGGTAGAGGGGGTCTGGCGGTCAAAATTGGGTGTTTCGGGCGTTTCAGGTGGGGTTATAGTCAAGTAATTTCGCTTTGTTGTTGGACTGGACGGTACCGCTAGTCTTAAGCCGGTATTCAGTCGTGGAGATTGAGGCACTTTCAGTTCAATGCCTTCAAATGAAAATCTTGAGATGTTTTGCCTCTAAAAACAAACAAATAATTGAAAACAAGCCATCGATTGAACGGTAAATTATAATACATTTTTGATGTCGTTTGCTTGGATCGTGAGCTGCGAGTCGCCCGACACTATCGACAGTTGACTTTGACTTAGAGTCCTTCGCATTGTCTTAATTTCCTTGATTTTTCTTTTCTCGGCTCTCGATATATACGTAACGACAGAGAACTCAATCAATGATAGAAATATAAAACCTATATTTCGTTACAACAAAAGTAAAATTACATTTAAAAATTTTAATTCAATTTTTTATATGAGTGCAAAATACCGGTACAAACGACAAACCAGATGTCCAGTGCGTTCACATATGAGATGTTGGGCAGCCTTTCTCGGGCCTCTTTGGCTACCGTAACAAACGTTAACATTGTTGTGATGCCTAACGTAATGCGGGCCGGAGTGGCCGTTATCTCCATCCAGAAGGATATCCACGAGACTATTATGACCAGAGATGTGGGCAAATATAGATCGAGTAGGGCTCGGGTCCACTCGCGCTTCAGATTAAATATAATGGAAACTGAACTAAAGTTTTCATTTTTTGTTTTCAAACTTCCGCTCTTAAGACTATACGACATAAGCTTAAAGCCCGTCATATAGAAGTTGGTGTCGGAGTTGAACGGTTCCACTCGTGTCCACTCAACCGCCAAATGATCATCAGAGAGATCGCTGGACACAAACGATACGTAACACTTCTGTGTGTCAAACGGATAGTATTGGAAATTCATTTGGCAAAACAGATCCAAATTAAGTCTATATTGTTTTGCAGTAAAAAATGTTAAAATATTACAATTCAAAAACTATAAACTGAAGCAAACCTTTTTCTAACTCTAACGTATCCATCGGTGGTGACTCTCATGAGCACAATCTTGGCGTCTCTGTCCAAAGCGGACGGATTTTTATTGTTGGGCACCCGAAGCTTCGGCGACCAAATCCTATCCAAATGCCAATCACTGCCTTCAATAGTGACACTGCCCTCAGTCGGGCACAAGTCGTCGGTGACGGCCAGTCGGGAGTCGGCCCACTCCAAGTCCGCCAATAGATTTATATTGAATTCAGACTCTTTTTCATTGACGGCAGCCATTGAATACATTTCCACACTTATGTTCACCAATACCTGGGAGTCAACTATAAGGACACAAACGATATTAAACAGCATAAATTATAGTTTAAAAATGCATTTTCTCATCAATATTAACCACGACTAACATGTTGGTCGAAGCCATTTGCTGTAATTTGATTCACTGGTCATTCTAACAAACTTGGCCTCCCGGACCAACGGGTCGGGCACTATACACATGCCATTGCTATCACAAATGACCAACACTTGAATGACAACTAATTGTAAAATTAATGCATTCAATGTATTCATATTATTTATTTGCAGACCTCTTCTGCAAGTAATTTATGAATTTAGTATATTTCTGACTGACTTTGAAATAATGTTTTAATTTAAATACAAATTCCTATGTTTATTGCCCGACCGGTGCTATGAGTTATTGTCAGAAAACCGGCGCTCTCTTGGATTATATTGTTTGGTAATTAATTATAAATTATGATTTTATGACAAATGTAACATGGTTATAATGATATTTATCCTGCGTATTGTGTTTATAATCCATATAATGACTACAAAACAATAAAGTAATTAAAGTTCAAGTTGAGAAATAATTAATGTTGGTATAAATTCTAAGTAATCCCTTAATACAGCATAAATTATATTGTATAATAATCATGTTGTCCTGAACTTATATTTTGTACAATTTTAGTAAAATGCACATTTAGGTTTATCTCAATAAATATATTAAATAATAAATGTTTATTTTTGGGGTTAATATTTGTAATCTGTATATTACATAAGAAATTAAATAAAAGTAACAAATAAAATAATAATATTGTGTGAAATTATAGCAAATGTTTGAACTCATTTATTGAACAGGTACTAAACAATTGGTAGTTTTTAACATAAATTTATATTAATGTAAATATTTGTTAATAAATATTGTTATTTTGTAATTTAACAGAATTTTCGATACATATCTCTTTAATCGATTCGTTTCAATGAGAAAAAGTGATTTGAATTGATATAAACTTCATTGAAATTCTCGGTATTTGTATGTCTTGAGTGCTATATATGTGCGAATAAATTCATTTTTAAAATCATTTACGGGTACTCTTTATGTATACCTGTAATACTGTATTGAAAAATGTTTTTATGTTTATGTAGCAAATAATTCAATTGATTGGTATTTAAAGTTTACTTTTTATCACTAATTACTGTATAATGTCATGCAATGAAATAGTGATATAAAGTTACCTAGTATACTGTAAAACATTTACAATTATAAATTATTTTTTGGTTAATGAATTATTAGAAAATATTTGTCTAAATAAATATTTATCATCCTTGTAAACAATTAATTATTATTTCTTCGTTTATCAATACATTCAGGAAAGTACACTATTTTTGAGGAAAGTTTACTAAAACCAATATTTTTACAAATATCAGATGATATGCAGTACTATTACTGATATCCATTATAAACACATTGATAGTCACTACAAATAAACAATTTTTAATAAAATTAATACCTTTTAGGTTAAAAGAGATGGAAAAACACCTATTTAATATGAATTAGTAATTACCCTAGTTCATTGCAATTCTACACTTACAGTACAGTTTATAGTATGTATGTATGGGTACAATACAACTAAACAATTAACTGCCAATTGTCTCATGATTTTATGAATTCTATTGATTTACATTACAATTACATTGAAATAGCAATTGAATCGATAATCAAAATTTGATAATATTTATACTGAAAGAGCAAACATTGAAAAACCAACAAAAACTTCCTGAATACCTAACACATGAACATTTTATGTCACTTATCTCTATCAACCAAATCGTTATCATATAGTAGAGTACACTGTAGTCTTAATTAATGGTAAGAAATGTTTTCGCAGTGAAGAGAAGTGATGTTTCATTCACTTTTGAACTAATATATAAACAATTTGATCAAGTTCTTTCTTTGCAAATTGCTGCTTATTTTTTGAATATAAAGTCGAGTTTAGAGGATTGAGAGGATAACTACAAATAAAACTAAGAAAATAACATAACAAATTTTGAACATCACAAAACATGTCATTAATGAATGACAAGTTGTAAAAGGTAGTGGAGTAGGTGTTTTATAGGCGGGTAATCAGGTAGTCAATTCAGTGACTATCGATGGTAAGGAGGAGTTTTGAGTCGTTGGAAAAATGATTTCATTAACGAAAAGGTTTGTAACGATTTTATTTGTCACTTGTTTTACACATGTCTATCACTTTAGATGCCTATGAATCTCATTTAACTCAATGTGATTTTAATGTCGATAACATTTTATTTAAAATCATTTACTGTTTTTATTTAAAAAATTTTATTCAGATATATTTTGTATATTAAATTAAGTGTATTAAAAATACAGCAGTTTTTTGTTAGTTTTAATTTTTTAGTAAACAACTTGTTTATTGTAAATATTTTATATATAGTGTTGCATAATGGTAATGAAAAAACAGCAAGTTTCTTTTATGAAATGTAATAATAATCATGAATTCATTACAAATAGGTGTACGAAATCATCGCATTTATTGGCAAAATTGGACTTTTGATATATTCTTGTCTATCGATAACACTATTATGTGATTCCTATTTCGTTCCGTCCCTTGAATTCATCGGAGATTGATGTATTGTTTAAAACTTGTAGTGTTTTGTACAGTAATTACTTACTGTTCAACATTTTCCATCACCTCATCCACAAAATATCCGCCCATTAGTCCATCAGTTAAGTCACTGATAGCTACCATTCCTCCGGTTCTGAGTCGTTGGAAAAATGATTTCATTAACGAAAAGGTTTGTAACGATTTTATTTGCCACTTGTTTTACACATGTCTATAATTTTAGATGCCTATGAATCTCATTTAACTCAATGTGATTTTAATGTCGATAACTTTTTATTTAAAATCATTTACTGTTTTTATTTAAAAATTTTTATTCAGATGTATTTTGTATATTAAATTAAGTATATTGAAAATATAGCAGGTTTTGTTCGTTTTAATTTTTTTAGTAAACAACTTGTTTATTGTAAATATTTTATATATAGTGTTGCATAATGGTAATGAAAAAACAGCAAGTTTCTTTTATCAAATGTAATAATAATAATCATGAATTATAATGTTTATCCACATGCTTTAGTAGCGTAAATAACCGTTTTAACCTGAAAACTATATAAGAACAGATAGCTATTGTGATAATACACTAAGGATAAAGCAAGGCAGGGAACTTAAGTAGCCTCTAACTAATTAATTATAAATCAAAACCAATTATAAATGTGTAAATTAATCACAATATTGTCAAATAGACCTACAATTATCACCCGATATAACGGGTGCTTTGTTCACGCCGTTGGGAACCGCTGGACCTGAAGTCTTCTCCAGCGTTGTCGGAGTGTTTGTCACTGAAGGCAATATCGGAACAGGTATTTAGCAATCAATTAAAACTCACTCATAATATATGATAATGAGGATCAAAATTCATGGAAAACATCATATGATTTACACAAAGCCTATTGTAATATCCATACAAATGCCTAATTCAAGTATCCATGGGATAGACCTTATTATGCATATTGAGAGTGCATTTATGATTATATTATCAAAGGGTGTTTTGCAATCATTTCTCAATAAAATTTTATATTTGCATACTTTAGGAGCGATCATAGGCTCTGCTGTATTCAATTTGCTGATAATACCGGCCGCCTGTTCCCTAACAAGTATCTACTTTCGTCCGGTTGGTAACTTTGATTTGAGCTATTGGTAACAATCCCTAGATTATGATATGTAGTATAGTTATTAACGTGAATAAAACCAGCAAGTCCTGTTATTTCAACTCTACATTCGCGAAAACTTATTCAAAATGTACATAACATAACCAAACTAATTAACCATGATGATTTTATATTTGATAACAGTGTTGAGGCATCAATGCTAGTGCTGTTGTTTATACTGATTGTGGTATTCCTCTACTATAACGCCCAACTGATGGACAAACTAAAGGCTGCGCTCACGAAGAACAGAGTGGCCGATGACCAGTGTATCTGTCGGGACATTGAATGTAACGACAATTGTACGCAAACTAAACCATTCGATGAAAAGTCGCCGCTATTGGCCGACAGACAGACTTCGTATTCAATACAATACCCGCCCAACTATTCGCCCGACCTTTCGTACGAGATTCACCTGTGAAGAGACCTCTAATCAGCCGTTAACCTGCGGTTCCTGTTCCCGAGCACACACAGGAAAGACATGCCACACCACTACAGGGGGTACTCCGAAGAGTACATGGATTGCTAGCACTTTGGGTGACAACGGCTCTTTGCGGTCACATTCGTGCTGTCAATCGTATGGTTAGCGCTGTTGTCCTTCTTAACCGTCACTAGTGTTGAGTTTATCAGTAAGTATTGTCTCCTCAATGGCCTTTCCATTGCATTCCTGGTGCGAAACATTGAATTGTATTACACTTTATAAGTTAGTAGTGTTTAGACCCAGAGATAACCCTATCATACTATTGAAATACCACTTGACATACAATTCAATGACTAATAACACACATGTATACGAAATGATAATAACATTTTTTATCACGTTTATTACAGGTGAATACTTTTCAATGTCAGATACAGTGGCCGGTATGACACTGTTGGCCGTCGGGAACGCAATGCCAGATCTGGTGACAAGTGTTATATTCGTGAAGAAGAGGGCAGATATGGCCGATATGGCCATCTGTGGTGCCATTGCCTCCAATCGATTTGCTATACTCATTGGTCTGGGCTTTCCCTGGGCTGTCAAGTGTTTGACCAATTGGGCGCTCAATAAGTCCTACTTCTGGAACTACATCCCATTGAACAGCAGTTCCCTTCCCTTCACATCACTCGTACTCTTGACGGCAATTGTTTTGCTATTCATTAACTTTAGGCTAAATAATTGGGTAATGAATCGCAAGTTTGCCTTCGTTTGCGTTGTCATACATATAGTGTTTGTTACGATTGCCATATATTTAGAGTACAAATTATAAGTGAACTAAATTTTCACGATTTATTTCATTGGATTTTTATCATCGGTTTTTAGTTGTTGAGAAAATTTCTCGATTTTATAGCCATTTGTGTGTTTGGATACTAATTAATGAATGCTTTTAACATCAATTGTTTTAATAACTAATCAATTGTTTTATGTGTGCCATAAGACTAAGGATACAATCATACAGACCATACAAAACATACAAAGAATCTGTACAATAGATCCAATTGTTGAGAACATTAACTCTCAATAATCACTGATTTATGAATCTCTTGATTGTATTTTAGTCGTCGGCTCTGAGAAAAGGCCGGAACACAGACTAACAGTAAATGTTTTGTATTAATAATCAGTATTTATTCAGAATCAAAGAATATTCTTTAAATATATATCAATATATATAACCTATTAAATGGTGAATATCTTGTCCGGCATTTCTAATGTTTGTATAAATGTTAACCATTCATATATAAAACATATTTATTTTAAAATAAACCAAATTGTTATTAATTTATTTTATATTAACGTTAATAATAAAATAAATATACTTTTTTAGATGTAAAATATACGTATAAATAATCATTTTGGTCAAAACCTTTTGAATCTTTCTAAAAACCTATAAAAATAATGTATTATTTATGAAAAATATTTTCATTCATTGTATTAATTCCTTATAATAATAATTATATTTTGCATCGGATTTAAAGTAATATAAGTTTTAATTTTTAACAAATAAATAATATATCATTTTTACAAATTGTAAATACATAAAAATAAACTAGTTTTTGGTTTTTCCGATAAAAGGGACCAAAATATTAACAAATTGTTTAGATTTAGTAAAAGGTATGAAACGCTTGAACTTATTATAGAAATCAAACTCAGAGTTTGGGAACCAGTGTTTCATTTGGCTGTGAGTCTTGTCATCAATCGATCCATACTTTCCGCTCGCTATCAATACGTCTCCAGAGTATTGTTTGCCACTAATGACTGATCTATCGATACCTTT